GAAAAAAAAAGACCGGCCCCTGACCGCTTATCCCCGACTGGGCCCCTTACCCGGAACGCTTTATCTCAAAAGCTGCATATTCCAGAATAAGTCGGTTTCCGATCTTCAAATTGCTGTAGATCGGTCAATTCTTTAGATATAGCCAAATATTATATATCATTTTAAAGGTAATTAAATGATCTATTCAGATATGCACATAATTCAATTTGTAGAATTTCCTACTTAATGCTGGTTTTGCTGGAGTGGGTCACATATATCATTATCAAGAGTATATAATGGGAGATATGCTATATAATGGGAGTTCTCCCATATATAATATACTCTTGCTTTATATATCCCCCTCCCTCTTCTATCACACTCAAGGTGAGCTACAGTGTCATTGACACTTTCATTTATAATAATCGGTACGCAATGCCGCTGACTCTTGGAAACTTGATAATAAGTGACTTATGCTTTCAGTTGCAGGGATACGTAGCATTAGCTGTCCCTGGCCGGTGTTATGTGGTTATTGCTCATGCTAAACATAGTAGTTATGATGGCATCAGTCTAATAACAGGTTTATTGCAGCAGTTTTGAATGTGAACATTGTGCCATTCTTGCACTTTTAATAAAGCACAGGCCTAGCTATATGAACCTACAGTCAAATCTTTGTTAGCTAATGGTCACCTCTCTAGTGCGAACACCTGTCTATAAACGACACGTTTGGCATTTGCCTTGAGTGGCAGGGTAGCTAAGAAGTGAGAGAGATAGCAGTATTTCAATTTTAAATCATGAACTACTATGCTGACCTGATACTCAACATTGCAAGCATACATAGTGCACACTACAGTATTGTGTGTCCCGTGTACATTGCCAACTCCTACATCTGGAATTATGAAGAGCATTGTAAAGAATAAATGCTAGGTGTGTGTGAGCTAGCCAACACTTGAAAGCCTGCGCAGTGCACACACTGGGTGTGTGTGCTTTATTACATAAGTGCATCGCATATGGTGCTCACGTCTGCATCTCACTCTCAGCACCGACCTCTAAAACGTTGCTACGTGTAGAGCATATTAGATAGTACCAGGGTACGTTCCGGCAGTACCCCGGGGGACATAGACCCTCTCAGCGCCGGACCGTACCTCGCCTACTCCACTAAC